GGACTCGATAATATGGGTTGAATGTAGTGATGACAATCTTGCTTATATGAAATCTTCGTAAGAGTGTATGTTAATGATACCTTAATAAAAAAAGTTACAAATGGAAGGAAAGGAATGGAGGGGCACCTGTAATGTTAAAGAGACTTAAATATGGGGAGTTGTTGTTCAATGGGGATAGAGTTTCAGTTTTGTGAGATGAGGAGCCCTGGAGATGGTGGCCCAGCACTGTGCACTGACATACTGCACTGTGTGCCTCAGAGTGGTCAGGGTGGTATATTTTATGTTATGCGTATTTTGCTACATTATAAACAACAAATAAAGTCACCAATGGCTGAACCTCAAAAAAAAGGAAAGACATATACATGTCACTTTTTAAAGGGGATGACTAAATTATAGCACCTCAGGGATGTACACCCGGGTGATAAAACTATAAACCTCAAGGAAGTGGTTAGTGTGAAATCAGCATCTCTTACTGACTGGGCGGATGAAGGGGTGATGACTGGGACAGGGTGCAGGCAAGGGGCTCCTGGAGTGGCAAGTTCAAGACCAGGGATCTGGTGCAGTTATAAAGGTGTTTGTCTCAGAATAAGGCATTAAGCCACTCATCTGTTCTGTGTGGTTTGTGCCGGTAATTCGTCTTACAATAAAAAGATCTTTCTAATGGAGATGAACCATCTTGAAGAACAAGCTGAAGAATGATCTCTAACAGATCTACAGACTTACTAGAGAGTTACAAGAATTCAGAGTGGTACTGGCATAAGAAGATCAGTGGAACAGCAGAGTCCTGAAACGTACCTGCTGATAAATATTGTTATGGGCTGAACTGTGTCCCCCTATGTTCATATGCTGGAGTCCTAACCCCCAGGACCTCAGAATGTAATGTTATTTGGAAACTGGGTCATTGCAGATGTAGTTGGTTAATTCGGGATGAAGTCACACTGGAATAGGGTGGGCCTTTAATCCAATACTACTGGTGTCCTTATAAAAAGGGAGAATTTGGACAGGCACCCAGGGAGGCATCTGCAGAGACAAAGATGAAGGCAGAGATCAGGATGATGTCTCCACATGCCAAGGAGCAGCAAGGATTGCCAGCAGGGGTTAACTCTGCTGACTCTCTAGCCTTAGGCACACAGATTCCAGAACAGTAACACGTTACATTTCTGCTGCTCAAGCCACCGAGTTGGTGATACTTTGTTAAGGCGGCCCTAGCAGACTGACACATACGGTGTCAGTCCATATGTGATTTCACTTTCACGCCTGATTTCCTACCGAGCACTAAAGTAGTTTGGTGGGGAAAGGGAAAGTCTTTCCAAACCGTGATGCTGGAACCACTGTGTCCGTATGACTCCCTACATCTCACGCCACACCCCCAAATTAATTAAAAATGAATCACAGAACTAACTGTGGAAGTTCAAACAAGAAAACAGAGAACCTCATGACTCCTAGGAAGGCAAAGGTTTCCTAGATATAAGGCACTAACCACAAAGGAATATATATCTCTATTTATATGTGTCTGACAAAGAACTTTTAAAAAGATAACAAAAAATCCAATTTAAAAATTGACAACAGTTTTGAAAAGGAAACTCGCTCACACAAAAAGGTATCTGATGATCAGTAAGCATATGAAAAGATGTTTAACTGATTTACTCATTAAGAAAATTCAAATTAAATTAAATCCATGGTAAGATACCACTACATAACCACTAATATGATTAGAATTTAAAAGACTGACAATGTCAAGGTCAGTGAGCATGTAAACAGAATGACTACTCGGCAGAAACATTCAGCATTTTCTGATACTATCAAACATACTGACCCTACAGCCCAGTGATTACGTGCCTGGGGCGGTGGGGTGAGTGCCCACAGACTGATTCACATGACGGCAGCAGCTTCCTTCACGACTGTCCAAACTGCAAAGAGCCCAAATGTCCACGAACAAGAAAATGAACCTTTTATTTATAAAATGTAATAGAATACAACTCAGCAATAAAAATGGATGAACTGATACAGAGAACAACACACATGAATCTCAAAAATATGCTTAGCAAAAGGAGACAGATACAAAAGTTACCTACTATAGTGAATTCATTTACATGAAATTCAAAAACAGGCATAGATTTATTGTGAAAGAGGTCAGAAAGGTGGTAGGGGTAGCTGTTGTCTGAAAATAAGCACAAGGAGGGTTTTTGGAAACAATGGTCGTATGAGTGTAAATGTGGAATATGTCACCAAGTTGTATACTTAATATTTGTGCATTTTACTGAATGTAACTTATTCTCAATACTAGAAAATGAAAATCTGAAAAGAAATACATACATGTCCACACAAGAGACCAAAAAACTTTAAAAGATCTGATTTAAGAGGCATAGAAGACAGGCAAAGATGAACAACACACATATAACCAGGAATCCAAAGGGGTATTTTGAAGCAGTAGAATATTGAAATATTGTAATTTTAAAAAATCCCTGAGATAAAATAAGATTTGATGCTACACGTTGAAAGGGCACTCCACATAACTGGGGAAAATATCACCCAGAACAGCTAACAGCCAGTAAAATTTCTGGATTTAGAATAAAGAAGTAAAAATCCTTTTAGCATCTAAGCAAAAAAGACTAAATCATTATAAGGAAAATCAGACTATCATGAGATTTTTCAATAACAATAATTGATGCTAGGAGACAATAAAGCAACATATTAAGATAGTTTAGGAAAGAAAATAAGAGGCAAGAATTTTACATGCACCCGTTTGAGTGGAAAGGTACAGGAATGCCCCTGGACCGCGCTGCGGAGGACTGAGCACATTGCCTTTGGGGCCTGGAGGAATCCAACCAAGATCCCGCCTTTAATCATACCATGATATTTTCATTCAAAACTTGAGGACTTCTAAAAACAACAGGGCTTGGTTCACCGCCAGCTGGGTTTGCCCTGTGATCACTTAAAGGCCGGAGGTGCTCCTGGGCCTCACCGAGCCTTACAGTCTCACCTACAGGACGGACAGTAAGAGCGCCTTCCGTGGGTGCCCAGGAGGCTTACAGGAGCTCAGACACATGCACAGTGGCCCACACACGGCTGGCCCCTGGGACACAGCAGCTCCCACGACGAGCGAGGCCTGCAGTGGGGAGGGGGTACCCTGAAGGAGACGGCCCCCCACCCCAGGAGGAAGGCTGTGACACCCATCTGCTGGAGCACCTCAACTTACACAGTGTCAGTTATATGTCAATAAAGTTGAACAAAAAGGTAATCTGGTTGCTACTGAGGAAAAAAATGTTTTAAGAACAAGTAATTTCTCATTGTAAATTAAAATAAATATATTTAAAAATTTTATAAAACCTGCAGAGATACCATAATACACTCACCAAAATGGCTAAAATTAATGACTGACAGGTATTGGCAAGACCTCAAAGTAGTGACGCTCACTGCTGCGTGTGAGTACAAGATGTGGGTCAGAATGGGGAATAAACAGCTCTGCTGGAAGGTAAGTGGGTTTACCTGCTGAACTTGAGCACAGCATGCCTTGACCCCAAATCCTACCCTAGGCGTACGCTCCACTGCACAGCAGAGGGAAGTCCGCAGTAGCACTGGGCACACGAGCAACCCGTGGCGGCCCTTCGCCATCGCCAGCACAGCGGACACCCAGAACAGGACACAAGGAGTGTCCCAGAGAGGAGCACGGCCCACCCTGAGTGCGTGGGCCTCGCCAGCAAGGCCTGAGGCTGGCCGCCAGCCCACACTCAGCATGGGGACTCCCATGTGGGGCCTCCCTCTGGGGGTGGCTGTCAGCCTTCTAGTCCACAACAGGCAATGGACACGTGTCTCATTTTGTGCTGACTCATTGAGCTGAACAGCTAAAAGTGTGCATCTTCTATACGTTAATGAAAACAAGGAATGGACGGAGCCACATGTGGGCCCTGAAGCTCTAAGATGTCCTAGAGTGCCAAAGCATGCTGTAGCTAGGTCGTCGGTCAGGAAGAAACCTCTCTGTTTGCATGTGCACCCACGCGTGAGTATGCGGGCCCTCGAGGAGCACAGGAGGAAGGAAGCCGCTGAGACCGAGGGCCCTGGAGACAGGACGTGAGGGCCACAGGGAAGGCAAGCTGGGTCAGCCGCATAAAAGTCTCAGACTTTGGATGCGTATCAGCAACTCTGACAAAAGTCAGTGAGCAAACGAAGGCCACTCTGCGCCGGCCGGAGCCCACACAGCGAGTCCCGCCCAGGGCCCCGGGAGCACGCGGCTATGCGGGGCCACCTGCTTCCGCCTCCCCAGCCCCTGCCCCGGGCCCAGGCTGTCTGTGGGCCGCACTGACCCCCGGTGACCTCACAGGGCAGTGGTCCACACACCTGCTTTTTAAAGGGCCGACACAGTGTTTTAGGCTTTGAGGGCCACACGTGGTCTCTGTCACACACTCTTCACTTTCACATATAAACATGGAAAACCACTCTTGGCTTGCAGGCTGTACAAAGGCAGGCTTGCAGGCTCAACATGGCCGCAGCCATTGCCTATGGAACAACAGCCACAAAGAAATACAAACTCAGGTGTGAAAGACACTCAGCATTATTACTGGTTTAATCAAACACAGGAGCAGCACAAACCCCTCCACCCAAAGGTGAGATTCCCATCACAATGCACACTGAGGGCCATTCTGCAGAGAAAGCGGCATCAACTCCAAGAAGGCCTGTGCCTAAGAGGTAGCCAGGCAATGTGCCCCTCTGCCCAACCCAGGGGGCAGCTGCGGCCACAGCGTGGGACGAGCCCACCGGGCCCCAATGCCCTGGGCACATGGTGAACGCCCGGCCGGGGTCCAGGAGAAGCACCCAGCTGCCAAGGCAAGTGTCACGGATGTCGGCCGGTGGGCAGACCCTACTAATCCTGCAGCTTTCAGAAAGTTTGGGATTTGACAAAGTAGAAAATTGGGAATTTTTAAAAAGATTTGAATGCTCCTTTTCCCCTAAAAAATGAAGATTCCTGCCTAGTCCAGGCACTGCCCCATGCGGGCACTCACCAGCCGAGTTGATGATGTGCCTCACAGCCTGCAAGGTACCCACGCGGGTTCTCTCACCACTGGCGTCCAGCTTAGGCAGCAGGAAGGCCAGCAGATGGTCAGGCGAGCAGCAGGCTGCAGGGCAAGGACGTATCAGGATGCTGCTGGTCGCCACCTGTCCTTAGCTCCCACCTCAGCACCCAGGCCTCTGGGCCCCCGTGGGGCACGTACCCAGCACTGTGAAGCAGCGCAGTACTGCCTTCTGGTTGCTCGTCCCCAGGGGGCTTGATGACTCCACAGGCACACAGATCTGCTCCAGGGCACAGAGGACAGTGGTTACTGGGGAAGGCACTGCCACCCCAGGGCCTGGCTGGGTGGCAGGGAAGGACGTGCAGGCACACCCTTGCCATCTGGGGGAGGAGGAGCAGCTGGCCTCTCCCTCCCTCCCACCGAAACCCAGAAGGAACAATTCCCAAGAGACACTCTTTTATGAGAAAGGAGGCTGTTTCCCCCTTCACTGATGCACTCTTGGGCACAGGCTGGACACCACTAATCTCTACATTATAGAAAGCCCTGGAAGCCAAAACACGTATGGTACATTCATTCAACATTGAAAAAAAAAATTTTATTGGTCAAAGTAAAAAAAATCCTGAGGCTGTTGGCAGATGTGTCTATGGGCCCCAGTGCCCCTCAGCAGAAGACACAGAAGCCCCCACTCACCAGGGGCTGAACTCTGGGAGAGCCGCCCATCCCCTGACCCTCAGAGGCACAGCGAAGGGCACCAGCAGGGCCTCTGCACCAGGGCTCTAAGGCAGCTCCTCAGTGGGGCACCTCGTGAAGCCACAGTGCAGAGCAAGTCCCCAGAACCCAGGCTGTGCCTCAGCCTGAACTCTGCCAGATCTCAGAGAACCATGGGGCAGCCGGTGAGGTGGGTAGGGAAGTGCTGGCCCCAGGGCTCTGCTCCAAGTTCCCAGGTAGCTCCTTGGCATTCCCACAGTAAAGACCCAACAGAACCAGAAAAGGCACCACGACCTCCTGCCTACTCCCTCGGCCACTCGCTCTGGGGAAGCCAGCTGCCACATGGGGAGGACACGCCAGCTGCCCTCTGCAGAGCCACCGGCAAGGAGCTGAGGCCTCCAGCCAGCAGCCGCAGGGGGCACCGAGGAAGCGGGGCTGTGGCCACAGGGGATCCCGAGCCAGAACCACCCTGCAGAGCTGTCCCTGGACTCCTGAGCCACAGGCACTGTGAGATAATAAATGGTTGCTGTTCTGAGGTGCTAAGTCTTGGAGTAATTATTTACACAGAAATAGATAGTTAATGCAAATGGGTAGCCATCTAGAAAAAATTTTAGAAATCACTTTCCACAAAATAAATTCCAGATGAATTAAACAATAAAAATATAGGGGAAAATGGGAGAACCTGAAAAATAATTGCAGAATTTGGAAGTTTTTTTCTAAGTATAGCAAAACCTGAATTGTAATGTAAAAGGTGAATGAATGATGCAAGAGGTAAATAATTTTGCATGGCAAAAGAGATCATAAACAGAGCTGGCAAACGACAAACTGGGGATAAAGACTTATACACGTATGATGTGAGACTATGAATGACTGTTGCAGGTAAGCATGAAATAAACCTGACATGCAACACAAAAACACAAGGGCAGCTCTGAGAAAAGGAAACATCACTTGTTCATCTTGTCAGCCCCATTAGCTCCCTTTCAAGCCCCTTCTCCAGGCCCAGCCCACCCACAGGTGACCATTCTTTGCAAGGGCACAGATCCACACAGCACCGAGTGAACGGCAGCGTTCTGCCACGCTCAAGCCTCTCTGCTACATCTCAGAGTTGTGAGCCTTTCCTCCGTAGAGGTCTTAGGTATTCTTGATTCTGCTAATTCCCAGACACTTCACAGTAAGTTTCCGTTGCTATTATAAATGGTATTTTTTGTGTACTTCCTAGTTGGTCATTATAGGTGGAGAAAAATGCTCATTTTTATAGGTTGGTCTTGCTAAGAGGGAACGTTGCTGCACTTCCTAGTTCTAACATGTGCTCAGTCCCTTCATTCGTGAGTGAATTTCTAAGGGAGCCAATCATCCATGAAACAAGTATTTATTGAGTGCTTACCAGTGATAGGTAGTATTCTAGGTGCTGAGACACAGCAGTGAGCGCAGCGCCCACCCCAGCCAGAGGGAGGCAAGTGGCAGTGAGCCATGGAGGGCACGGAGACAAGGCTGGCGCCATGCAGTGACGGACTGCCGCACATCCGCGCACCTCCCGTTTCTGCTTCTCGCCTTATAAAGCTGGCCCTGTGAGAATGGGGGTTCCTCCTGCTCTTGACATGGACGGGATAGTCTATTTCCCATTTACTAAGACTCATCCTGAGGATTTGGGTATTCAAACTTTAGCAAGTTAAAGAAGTTCCTTCCCAATCCTAGTGGCTAAAAGTTTTAATGAGCTTCATCAATAGCTTTTCTGCATCAGTAGAGATCAGAGGACATTTTCCCTAATCATTTTCACCATGATGCACACTGACAGCTCAGCGCTGCTCAAGCGTACGTGCAGGAGCTGAGCCCTGCCGAGTGGTGTGTTTTCTGAATATAGCCCTGGGTCAGTGAGCTTTCCTGTGTACCAGGTGCCCACATCTATCCTCAAAATTGTGTCGCTACTGCATGGCCCTGCCCCAGGCTCACAGAAGCAATGAGGCAACTCAGGATCCTTCTGTGGTTTCCAGACTCACCAATATAGGACAGAACTTCATTGTTCTCTTAGTTTGGTAAAACACAGCCTTTAAAGCACGAGGGTCCTGGCTTTGTTTTAAGGAAGGAAGGTCTTGGAATACTATTCCCATTTCTTTAGTGATTTGGTCAAGTTCTCTATTTCTTTTGCCAGTTTTGACAGGTTTTTTCCAGGAATCTATCCATTTCACAGTTTTTTTAGTTCATCACCATTGCTCACAACACTCAGATTTCTGTTGAAGCTCTCTGACTATAGCCCCCACTGGCCCCTCACTGGGACCTAGAATCCCAGAGGCACAGCCTGTGTACAGCCTGTACAAGGGGCCACGGGTCTACAGGGCCAGGCTGACATCCTGGTGGGAGTGGCAGGGCCCACGTGCCCAGAGAGGCCCCAGGAGTGGAACGAAGAAGTAAATCCAATCTTCCACTTCTTTTCCATGGGCAGGACTCCTGTCCCCACTGCTGTCTCCCTGACCTCCACACCTCCCACCAGGCTCGGGGGCAGGGGTCGCACAGCTGAGGCCCCCCGTCCGAAGCCCCTTCACAGGTAGTCTCCAGGTCCCAGCCTCTAGGCCCCTCCTCCCGTGGCTGCCCAGCCTGGGCTCAGTCCCTTGGGGACCCACCCACAGTGCATGTGCCCCCAGTGCTGTCTCAGACTGCCCCTGCCCTGCTGGCCACCCACTCCTGCCACCTCCATGCGGGAGGGCCCCTGTGTCACACTGTGAGCGCCGTTGCTGGGCAACGACGTGGCTCTGTCACTGAGAGGTGCACCTACACAGCTGGCAATACCCGTGGTCAGCCGTCCCTGGCTGACGCCCCACGCATGTCTTGCTCCCTGCCTCCCTCAGTGGGCACCTGGTGGTTCCAAGCCAGGCAGCACCGGGACACCCCACCCGCCCCCAGCGTGCTCCCCCGCTGGTGAGCCCACCGTCCCCCCAGGAAGCCCCTACCCCTCCACTTCCTGCCCCAGCCCACCTGAGAGTGCAGAGCGGCCAGCAGCGAGTCGAGCTGGACCTCCAGTGTGCGGCTGCCCATGCTCACGGCTGCATCAAGGATCTGGCTCAGGCTCTGCTTGCAGCAGCAAGAAGGAAGGGGTGGTCAGTGCCATCTCGAACCCCCGCCCCGTCCCAACTGAACGTGAGTGCCACACGGACCCAACCCTGGAGCCCACACTGGGGCTCAAATGAGGAAGCCCCACCTCTGCCTCTAGGATTCAGAGCTGGGCATGAGGAAGGGGAGCCACAAGCCACATGGTGCAGGTACCCAGCTCTGCCCGGCACAGGGTCAGGGTCCCACCCAGCACGGAATCTGAACCGTCCTCTCAGGGCCACTGCTACAGGGAGGTGAGAGCAGACACAGGCCTCCAGTGCGAACCTTAGACACGTGGAAGGTCTCAGCATGCTTTTTGTAGAGGGCGAGGACTCCGGGCAAGAGCCTGGGAAGCTGCTCCTCCAGCTTCTCGCCTGGTAGAAGGTGGCTCATGGGCCCCAGGGCCTCCACTACAGCAAGCCGGAGCTGGAAGGGGACAGTGATCCCATGGACACATCCACACCAGCACAGCGTGCTCACGGGCAGCCGGGCAGAAGGCAAGAGCCTGTCACAACTGTGTAGACAGATGACACCATCCCCTTCCTCTGAGAGCCTGTGGCCCGGGTACCCCAAGGTGAGTCCGCAGGGCCCTGTGAGATGGCAGGCCGTACCTTGGCTTCACGGCTCTGCAGCCAGTGGTGAAAGAGGACGTCGTAGGCACCAGAGATGTCGGCGGCGAAGGTGTCCTTCCTGACTGTGGGGTCCGGGGCTTGGTCCAGGTTGGCCAGATACTCCAGAATGCTCTCGCTGAAATGCTGCAGAGCTAGTGACCGACAGCAGTGAGGTTGCCAGCTAGCAGCCACAGACTCACTAGCAACAGCCTGCGTCCCGTGGCCGCTGCTTCTAGAATCCCACGCCAGCCTGCAAGGCGCCCCCTGAGCACACTCAGCACGGGCAGGACTCCAGCACCACACTGGCGCAGGCGGCACTCCCCCTAAACTCACGCCCTGCCCAGAGCCTCAGAGTACGACCTTTCCTGGCAACAGCCTTGGCAGACATAATCAGCAAATATGGGGTCCGAGAGGGGTGGGGTGGCCCTAATGTCAGCAAGACCGAGCTCTGACGAGAGGACACAGAGCGGAGGCAGCTGTGGGGCACCATCAGGGTAGACGGGGTGATGCAGCCTCCAGCCAGACGCCAGGCTGGGGCAGGTGGGGTACAGAACAAAGGCCCCCTCTGAGTGCTCGAGAAGAAACCAAGCCTGACAACACCTTGACCTTGGATGCCTGGCTTCCCGCACCGCCAGAGAGTACAGTCCTGCTGCGTGAAGCAGCCCCAGCCTGGGGCACTGTCACAGCAGGCCTAGGAAACCAGCACAGGCCCAGCCTCCACAAACCCCCTGGGCCAAGTGCCCACCTCGCCCCCCACAGACAGGCATGAATGCCACATGCTTGGCAAGGGCAGCAGTACCAGGCATGGCGTGGGCCCCAGGTTGAGTGCGGGACAGAGCCCAGGTACCAAGTGGGGGTGGAAAGGCTGAGACAGAGGGCTGTGTTTGTGAAAGCAACCACGGCCGTGGACGTTCAGCTGGGCAAGTCCAGGCTCAGGTATGTACCTGTGAGTGGTCAGCAGGGGCTGGGCCATGGGTCGAGGGAGAGGACAGGGCACCGAGGAGAGAGGATGAAGCCCGGCCCCTGTCACGCAGCCCTGCTAAGGCCGGGCAGCAGGAGTGGCGGGGCCTCGCGTCCAGGCCGCCCTCACCTGGCACCGAGGGAAGGAGACTGCAGCAGCGCAGGACCACCTTGAGGCAGCTCCCTGCGCACCTACGGCTTCACTTGACAGGGCCCACTGGACCCTGCCCAGGACCCACTAACCCGGCCCACTTACAAGGCTATTCCCAGCATGTGTGACCCATAGGCCAACAGAAAATGAGCCAGAACCCAACCCTCCATGAGGCACCCATGGGGTCAAGCTTCCAGAAGAAGGAATTAAAGAAATTCCATGCCTCCTAGAGTCCATGGAGGGAAGTGTCTATCATCAGCCACCCTTTGGCTGAGGATGAACCCTTGGGGGTCCAGTTCAGGGGGTTCTGACCCCTCAGCACCACAAGGCCTTGGTGCCCACCTGCCACGTGGCTACAGGTGCCTCCCCAGCCATGCAGCCGGCGTGTGGGTCACACTGACCAGCATGTCCAGGGACTGTGTAGCGTGTCCACCTCATGGGCTGTGTTAACTTTTAATTGGTCACATGTTTGGGGTAAGAGCAATGTTCACACTGCCCGCTGCCCACATCACCCTTGCTCCAGAAGCACGCACAGCGGGTCAGGCTCTGTCTGTGGCTGAAAGTAAGGCAGGCCTCTGTGTGACGTGTCCACAGTGTCCCTGCAGGGCTCCCCAGGCCAGGGCCGCGCACTCCCGGCACACAGCCCCCTCCCCGTGGCAGCCTCTGTAGTCTCCTTGGTCCTCCAGGCGTGAACCACAAGTGCAACCTGCACACCTTCTGCCAGGCGCCCGGGGTCCCTGGGGCCCTGCCACATGGGGCACACCCCTCTGCATGGACCCTCAATTCTCAAAAAAAGTCCCCACTCTGCTGCTCAAACAGCCTCTGGGCGAGGTCTGGCTCCGGCTCCCCGGGGCTGGGGAGAAGCCCTGGCCGTCCACCTCCTGTCTGCTCCTGCACCACCTGCGCCCAGCCAGGAGCAACAGGAGGGCCTTTCCAAGTAGGCTGCCCCCACGGCACCCCTGCATCTCCGTCCTCCTCTCTGGCATCTGTTATCTGTTAGCTGTTACCCGTCTCTCCCTCCTATTTTCCCTATTCTTGCTGTTTTCTGGGGAATTTCCTCAACTTTGTCATCCATTTCTGTTTTCCATGTTATCGTATTTCTAATTCGCGAGAGCTCCATACTGTCCTCATACGTGGCCTCTGGGCAGCAGTAAGTCACATGGGGGGGAGCCCGCACCCCGCCCACTGCCCCCAGCAACCCCGCTTTGGTGCCCTCTCTCCCGTCACACTCTCCTGGCGGCCAGTCTTCGTGGCTGCCTGATGGTGCTGCAGGGTGGGCCTGGCCCGCCGTGCACCCAGCTGTCTGGGAGACGTCAAGGCCTCTCTGGGCCCTTCCAGCCCTTGTCCCACTGGCCTCAGCATGCTGTGCACGGACGGGTGGGAACCTTCACATGGGCACGCATTCCACTGCTGGCCAGCGCCGCCACCCTTGGCGGGCCTGGGCACCTTGCCGAGGTGGATGCACGCCCACCCAGAACCAGAGGCGGCCTGCAGGACAGAGGCCTGCCCTCTTGTGGCTGCCGCACAGCAGTGTCTGCTGGCAAGCCCACTGGTCCCACACACCAGTGAGAATACCAACATGGTAAAACTGGCAGGAGGCCCCAGACCCGTGAGGAAGAGACAAGAGCTCTTGAGACCTGTTGCAAGCTGCCTGCTCCGAACCCCAGCAGCCGGGAAGACTGATGTGTGTCCTCCTAGGTACCGTGCGGGCGAGCGATGACCAAGCCCAGGGGACCAGAGCCCCTCTCACGGCCCTGCAGCCTGGCCGCACTGCCCTGGGCCCCTGCCCCACACCCCCCCACCCTGCTTCAGCTCCCGTAAGTGTTCGCTTAAGGCCACAACCCACGCAGCCGTCACGGCTCCTTCTGGTCCTGCTTCTGCATCCCCAGCTCGGCTGCCTGGGATCCTATCACAAATTCCCTGTTTCAGCCCGAACCAGGCTCTGTCGATCACCCCGAGCCCACCATCACCCAGCGGTCCCTTGGGGGAGGGGCCTGTGAGAGCAAGGCAGCGAAAAGGCCATGGCAGGACTGGCACATCCCGGGCCCCTGGACCAAAGCCACCTCGAGCAGCACGAGTGCCCAAGACTCCAGGCCCTGCCACAAAACCCTCCAGGTGTGCACGGGCAAGGCAGCTTCCCCAGCACCCCACCCCATGTTCCTGCGCCCTGAGAGGTGGGCCAAGAGGTGGCCAAGGCAGAACTAGGTCAGCTGACAAAGCTCCTACCCCTCAGGAGATGCTGTCCCTGTCACCGCAAACACTGCTGTCACCTATCTCTTGCCAGGGCACACACACCAGGGGCAGGATGGCAGGCAACCCGTTCCAGTGCCCAGAGAGCACCAAACAGGAAGTGGCCACTGCCTAGAGGAAGCCTCTTCCCACCCCCACCCCAGGAGTCCAGGCATGAGGGGGATGCTGTGCAAGGGGCAGAGGGGGTCCCAGCGGCAGACAGAAGCAGCCAGAGGGCAGGGCCTGGAACCTATACCTCTGCAGCCACCCTTCCCTCAACTGCCCCACCTAACGTCTGTGCCCAGAAGGATCCAGGCTCCCACAAAGAGGCACTGGAGATGGAATGCCAAAGAGTAGGCAGACAGCGCCCAGTCCTGCCCTGGTAGACCCCGTCTTACCGTAGCAGAGCACCACCCTCGTCGTGTCGTGCTTGGCCGCGCCCAGCATGGGCAGCATGGTGCTTAGGATGGACGTCAGGAAGGGCACCGTGCCGAACACTGCAGAGGGGGCGTGTCAAGCCCACTGCCCCCACCCCACCGTCCCTCCCAAGCCCAGGGGCCACATGACGGGGAGGGCTGAGCCTTGAGGGTGGAGCTGGAAAGCCACCATACTGAGAGGCTTGGCGAGGTGCTCAGGGCTCACTGGAGATGGGTGGGGACTCAGGGCCAAGCTGCCACCTACCATTGGCAACTGCGAGGTCGGCCAGTGTCTGCACCACAAAGTGGTGCGGCAGGGCCCCAGGCTGGAATTTGCTCAGTACCTCCTCCATCACCAGGCCGATGTGCTGCTTCCCCACCGCCACCAGGACACTGCTGGCGGCCTGCTGCCAGTCACAAACCAATTCCTGTATCCCCAAGAAACCCTAAACTGGCACCCCAACCGGAGCAGAGAGGACCTCACCCTGAAACCCACCAAGGGGCAAAAACCAGACACTTGCCCTCAGCTGGGAGGCCTGTCAGAGGGGCCCTTGCACCCGGGGCCTCCTGCCCCAGGAGGGTAGTCAATGCACAGGACTGAGAGGCCAGCCCCAGCTCTGCCAGGCAAACCCACATGCTCAGCACACTCGGGCAGAAAGGTCCTGGAGGAGGCGCCTGTCCCCGCCCGGCCGAGCCTGCCCATGCCCCGAGCACCTTCGCCTTGGTCATCTCCCTGGAGGCCAGGAGGACGGCAGCCCTGGCCGCGGCCTTGTCCAGCTCGCCGGTGTGACTGCTCACCACCTTCTCCATGGCCCTCAGGATCGCCGTCCGGTGCGGACGCGCCAGCTGAGGAGAGAGGCAGCCAAGGACGGCCCCAGAAGATGAGCTGTGCACCCAGGCACCCTGCCAGCACCACCCACTTTCTCCGCAGGGCTTACTCAAACAAAACCACCCCTCTCTGCCCCAACACAGAAGAAACACATCCAACCCTTCTTCCTGCCCCTTAGAACTTCCTTAAGGCCTCGCCCCAGAAAGGGCTCCTATTCGTGTGGGGGGCACATGGCCATCAGGAGGAGCCCCCCTCCCTGACCACCTTCGGGCCCTGCCTCAGCTGAATGCCCAGTACCCCGCGTCCAGGACCCGCTCTCACAGCCCCTCCAGGCTCAGGAATGTGCCCAAGTCTTCTGAGTCTTAAATGTAAAGGACCACACCGCCGTGTCCCCCTCCAGCCACACCCCACCCACCCCACCAGGTCCTGGCGGCCCCACGTCCTGGTTAAGCCTCCACAAGCCGAGGCACAGTGCCAGCCCCACCTCTGCCTGGACCCGCCCCCACCACTCTGCACCCATCCTCTGTCACCAAGGACACACAGATGCCGCCAGTGTGGGGACAGGCCTGCAAGGACAGAGCACTCCACAGCTCAGCAGAGCCGAACCAGGAGTTCTTCCAGGGTGCTGACACACTGCGGGTGAGGCCACACACACCAGGACTGGGACCACGACCAGGCCCCCCTGAAGACCCCATCCACAGGAATGGAGTGTCCAGACCATGGTACAGATGAGGGGGGCACAATCTCTAGGTGGCAGACAGGGCCCAGGCCGGTGAGAACAGTGCAGCATAGGTGGGGCTGCAGCCCAGGTGACAACACGCCCCCGGCTCCCTCCCACACAACTACCACAGCAGGGGTGGGAGCACCGGATCAGGTGGACATGTCAGCACCAGCCCCATGTCAGCACCATCCCCCCAGCACCGCCCCCGCAGCAGCGCCCCCATCAGCACCATCCTCCATCAGCACCATCCCCATGTCAGCACTGTCCCCCCAGCACCGACCCCACAGCATTTCCCCATCAGCACCAGCCCCCCATCAGCACTGCCCCCCCATCGGCACCATCCCATTAGCACCATCCCTCCAGCACTGTCCCCCAATCAGCACCGCCCCCCCAACAGTACCACCCACCAGCACCATCCCATTAGCACTGTCCTCACATCAGCACTGTCCCCCCATCAGCACCACCCCATCAGCACTGTCCCCCCAATCAGTACCGTCCCCACATCAGCACCATCCCCACATCGGCACCATCAGCTCAGTAAAGAAAGCCAATTGCAATGTCCAGACCTGGTGTGGACGCCACGCTGCCTGGGTGAGCCAGCACCCAGAAGCTCATGTATGTGGACAGTGGCAGGCAGCACCCGCGCCCAAGCCACACTGTGCACGGCTGTGGTGTGACTCAGAGTTGGGAGCGCCAGGGGTCGATTTGCTGAGCATGCAACACACTGACCACCTGCCACCAGGACCACGAGTGGACATAATTTTTATTCCTGAGAAAAGCCAACAGAGATCAAAGTGACAGGCACACTGCGTTTGCAGCAGCCCCTTGGGGGTAAGTACACCCTCCGCCCTCTCCTTTCAGGCCTCTGCAAGCAGGCAGGCTTGCCCTTAAATTCTGAGCCTGACAGTCATTACTTCAGGTCTTCTTCATCTGGACACCCTCCCCAGGGAGGAGACTGAGTGCTCCGAGGGAAGTCCTCCTTGCTGGAGCTGAGCCACCACTGAAAGACAGGACTGGAGCACAAGACACCTTTTCTTTGCATTATGAAGGAATTTAGGGAAAGAATGTAAAGTGAATGTAAACTGGGATGACTCTAACCCAAATCCCCACTGAGCTGGGAGCTGCAGCTCTGACATGACTGCAGTGTGAACACTCTCAATATGGACTCACATTACTTCTGTCTGCTTTAAATACGGTTGCTTTTTTATTCTTGGTCTTGGAAATACACTGCAAGGCACGTTATATACCCTTTTTTTAAAATTTTGGTATCATTAATATAAAATCACATGAGCAACATGGTCCTTACGAGATTCCCCCCCGACATACCCCATTACAGTCACTGTTCATCAGCATAGTAAGATGCTATAGAGTCACTGCTTGTCTGCTCTGTGCTGTACTGCCTTCCCCGTGCCCCCCGGTACATTATGTGTGCTAATCGTAATGCCCCTTATTCCCCTTCTCCCTCCCTTCCTACCCACTCCCCCCAGGTCCCTTTCCCTTTGGTAACTGTTAGTCCATTCTTGGGTTCTGTGATTCTGCTGCTGTTTTGTTCCTTCAGTTTTTTCTTTGTTCTTATGTTCCACAGATGAGTGAAATCATTTGGTACTTGTCTTTCTCTGCCTGGCTTACTTCATTGAGCATAATTCCCTCTTGCTCCACCCATGTTTTTATAAATTGTTGGGATTTGTTTTCTTTTTTATGGCCGAATAGCATTCCATTGTGTATATGTACCACATCTTCTTTATCCATTCATCTACTGATGGACACTTAGGTTGCTTCCATTTCTTGGCTATTGTAAATAGTGCTGCAATAAACATAGGGGTGCATCTGTCTTTTTGACACTGGAATACATTCTTAGGGTAAACTCCTAGGAGTGGAATTCCTGGGTCAAATGGTATTTCTATTTTTAGTTTTTTGAGGAACCTCCATACTGCTTTCCACAGTGGTTGAACTAGCTTACATTTCCACCAGCAGTGTGGGAGGGTTTCCCTTTCTCCGCATCCCTGCCAGCATTGGTTGTTCCTGGTCGTTTTGATGTTGGCCGTCCTAACTGGTGTGAGGTGATATCTCATTGCAGTTTTCATTTGCATTTCCCAGATAATTAGCAATGTGATATACACCCACTTTTAACTGCTTTTGTTTTCTCATATGTGAGGACTCCATCGGAGAAACTGCTTGGTTCCCCTGGAAAGCAGAGTGGAGACGTGGAGCCCCTGGGGCCGGGGTCTGTGGGCTCCCACTGTCTGGCAGCCACTGTTCTGGCCAGCATGTCCCTCAGTGCAGTGGGACAGATGGTGCAACTGGGCCAGCGAACCTGGGACAGGCAATGGAACTAGAAACCTAGGTGCCCATCAAAAAGGTTCATTGTCTGACACAAAGAAATAAAAGGCATCCAGATAGGAAAGGAAGAAGTAAACTGCCACTATCTGCAGATGACATGATATTATACATAGAAAACCCTAAAGATTCCACCAAAAAACTATTAGAACTAATGACTGAATTCAGCAAAGTTGTGGGATACAAAATTAACACACAGAAATCTGTTGCAGTCCTATATACTAACAAAGAATTAGAAGAAACAGAAATCAGGAAAACAACTCCATTTACAACTGCATCAAAAAGAATAAAATACCTGAATATAAACCTAACCAAGGAGATGAAAGACCTATACCCTGAAAACTATAAGACACTGGGGAGAGAAATTAAAGAAGATGCCAATAAATGGAAATCTATCCCATGCTCATAGATAGGAAGAATTCATATTGTCAAAATGGCCATCCTGCCTAAAGCAATCTACAGATTCAATGCAATCCCTATTAAAATTCCAACAGCATCTTTCAATGAACTAGAGCAAATAGTTCTAAAATTCATATGGAACCACAAATGACCCTGAATAGCCAAAGAAATCCTGAGAAGGAAGAATAAAGTGGGGGGAATTACGTTCCCTGACTTCAAGCTCTACTACAAAGCCACAGTAATCAAGACAATTTGGTACTGTCACAAGAACAGACCCACAGACCAGTGGAACAGATAAGAGAACCCAGACATAAACCCAAGCACATATGGTCAAGTAATATACAATAAAGCAGCCATGGATATATACAATGGGGAAATGACAGCCTCTTTAACAGCTGCTGTTGGCAAAACTGGACAGCTACATGTAAGAGAATGAAACTGGATCACTGTCTAACCCCATACACAAAAGTAAACTCAAAACAGATCAAAGACCTGAATGTAAATCATGAAACCATAAAACTCTTAGAAAAAACATAGGCAAAAATCTCTTGGACATAAACATGAGCAACTTCTTTATGAACATGTCTCCCCAGGCAAGGGAAACAAACAAAAAAAATGAACAAGTGGGACTATATCAAATTAAAAAGCTTCTGTACAGCAAAGGTTACCATCAGTAGAACAAAAAGACATCCTACAGTATGGGAGAATATATTCATAAATGACAGATCTGATAAAGGGTTGACATCCAAAATATATAAAGAGCTCATGCACCTCAACAAACAAAAAGCAAATAAGCCAATTAAAAAATGGGCACAGGATCTGAACAGACAGTTCTCCAAAGAAGAAATTCAGATGGCCAACAGACACATGAAAAGATGCTCCACATCGCTAATCATCAGAGAAATGCAAATTAAAACCACAATGAGGTATCACCTCACACCAGTAAGGATCACCACCATCCAAAAGACAAACAACAACAAATGTTGGCGAGGTTGTGGAGAAAGGGGAACCCTCTTACACTGCTGGTGGGAATGTAAATTAGTTCAACCATTATGGAAAGCAGTATGGAGGTTCCTCAAAACACTAAAAATAGAAATACCATTTGACTCAGGAGTTCAACTCCTAGGAATTCACCCTAAGAATGCAGGAGCCCAGTTTGAAAAAGACAAATGCACCCCTATGTTTATCACAGCATGATTCACAATAGCCAAGAAATAGAAGCAACCTAAGTGTCCATCAGTAGATGAATGGATAAAGAAGATGTGGTACATATACACAATAGAATATTATTCAGCCATAACAAGAAAAGAAATCCTACCATTTGCAACAACATGGATGGAGCTAGAGGGTATTATGCTCAGTGAAATAAGCCAGGCGTAGAAAGACAAGTACCAAATGATTTCACTCATATGCGGAGTATAAGAACAATGGAAAAGTGAAGGAACAAAACAGCAGCAGAATCACAGAACCCAAGAATGGACTAACAGTTACCAAAGGGAAAGGGACTGGGGAGGATGGGTGAGAAGGGAGGGATAAGGGTAAAAAGGGGCATTACGATTAGCAGACACAATGTAGTGGGGGTGTCACGGGGAGGGCTGTATAACACAGAGAAGGCAAGTAGTGACTCTATAGCATCTTACTAGGCTGATGGACAGTGACTGTAATGGGGTATGTGGTGGGGACTAGATAATGGGGGAAATCTAGTAACCATAATGTTGCTCGTGTAGTTGTATATTAATGATATCAAAATGAAGAATAAAAATAAATCATAAAATAAATAAACTAAAAAAATTTTTTCAATAAAAAAATAAAAATAAAAATAAAAATAACAAAGCTCTTTTAGCCACCTTTGGTATTCTTCCCCTGCTTCCTCAAAATTTCCTGGGCAGCCCTAACTTTCTTTGTCTAACAATCAGACACGGAATTCAGTGCACCATGGTGATAAAGCCTTTCAGGCACGCACCCTAGGCCCTGACACCCAGCACATGAGGAATGCAAAGCTCCATGAGCCTGAGAACAGCGTGTGGGCACATGCCAGGCCAACATGAGGGCACAGCTCTGTCTGCTGCATCTACAAGTGGCACATCTCCAATCCAGGTCCCAGCAGGCAGGCCTAGTGCTCCCATGCAAGCACCAAGGGCCATGGAAGCTCAGCCAGCCAGCGGGAGGGAGGCGAGCCCCTCAGCACCAGCCACCGCAAACTGCCGCGGTCAGCTCAGCAGAGACTCGGTGGCACTGGGCTATTTCTCCCAGGAGAGGGCAGCTGATGATGCGAGAGAGAGAACTAATGAAGGATGGAGATCCCTTTCTACAATTTGAAATGTCTGAACAATAAGAGAAATGGTCTTTTGAGACTGCAAAAGGCTCTTCCTCTTCCAGGAATGGCCCTAAAAGAAGAACTGAGGAAACAGAAGCAGTGCGCTATTATCACAGACAACAGGGAGCTGGGAGTGCCACGCAGCCCAGCCGAGGCCCAGGAGAGGGCAGAAAACCAGGAGGAAGGCTGGCCCCAGCTCAGGTGGGCGAGCCAGCATCCCTGCTGGGCTGCAGTCGGGACAGCTGAGGAGGGAGTCAGCCACGTCTGGGGCGGGCAACGGGCTCTACGCCCCAGCCTCTAAGAGCGCCAGTCCACCTGTCACTCTTCTTGTGGCTGGTGGGAAGCAGCCTTTTCTGCCCTGGGGAGTTGACAGCACAGGGCCGGCAGGGAGAGCCATCCAGTCTCCAGCCAGGGAGTGAAAGGGGACATCACCATTGGGCCTCCATTCGAGAGCCCTGGCTGCTGCAGTGCTGACCCCCTTGCCCCGCGCCCCCCAAAAAGAGAACAAGACACAGGCCATAAGACAATGCTGGTCATCTCCCTGGGAGCACCCCGCCTCCAAGAAGCCTGGGTTTGCTGGAGGCTGGCTGCACCCGCCCGCCCGCCCCCCAACCACAGCAAGTCCCGCCCTCTGGGGATACCTTCTCCTGCTGCCTCATGTACTGCTCGCAAGCGCGCAGTGCCTCCTCTGGCTGCGACTCCCCGAGCGCGCACAGGGCGCCGGACACCTGCTCCTGCACCAGCGGGTCCTTGTCAGAGATGGCGTCCAGCAGGATGGCGGACAGCCCTGCAGTAACAGAGCCGGGTGCACATGCTCAGGCCTGGCACCAACCCCACCATGCCCGCCTGCAGCACCTGACTCGGACCCAGAACTGAGGCAACACCTGCCCCATGGCCTGGCCACTCTGCATGCATGCCTTAGCTGTGCAGATCTGAGCTACTGTTGCCCACACACCCCCACCTCACTTGGGTGTGTGTGGCAGTTCCCAACCTAAGAGACATTCCGGCCACTTGTACCTTGGCTTTACATCCCAAGGGGCGATGGCATCAAGCTTCCTGCCCCCACTGCGGACCACACGGAGGTCACAGGCTCCAAGGTGCGTGGGAAGCCATCCCCTAAAGCCCACGCTTTGCCCTGCCCCTTGCTGCCCCAGCCCCACCACCTGCTCTGGGAGACTTCGTCCCCCCATCCGAAACACCAGCAGTCCACACCCAGAGCCAGGAGTGTCCTGCTCAGTGCCCTGTGGGCAGGACCTCATCATCCTCAGTGTCCTGAGCGCTCAGGGATCCGTGTCTGCACATGCGCCCACAGGTCCCAGCCCTTGGAACAGTGCTCTGTGAGGCAGGTCTGCCTCTTCCCCACCTCCAACCAGCCAGCTGTGCCCTCAGCAAACTGCTGGCCCTGGCTGTAGGGGCAGAGCGGCCAGCCAGAGTGGACAACGCACCTGGGGCTTGTGTAGAAAAGGGCAAAGGTACAGAGACCTGCTCCCACCTAAGCATAGCAATCCCCGGCACCCTGCAAACACTGTTGCCTAAACCAGACCGAGCCTGCAGCCAAATCAGCCCCAGCCATGTCAGTATCTGCAGAGACTTCAGTTTTCTTTCATGAAAACTTAGAGAAAGGTTCGCACCCCAGTCATTCCTCAACTACATCTGCACATGCCAAGAATCTATGTCCCAAACTTAGAAGCAGGCAGGCTGATGCCAAGGCCTGCCCAGGAGGCCGACGCACGCCCTGTCCCGCCTGCACTCACTCTGCACGTAGGACTCGGTCATTGCTGTGGCCTCAGCTTCCAGTCGCCCAACATGCATGGTTCTGGAACCTGGAGTAACCAAAACAGCACATTTAATTCACAGCCTTCTCAGTTACTGTATTTGTGTAAAACACAATTCAGAACAAATTTCTCTGGGAGAACTCTGCCTCACAGTGGCCTGGGCAAGTGTGCTGAGAACCCCACCTACAGCACTTTCCTTGGCTCTCTGAAGAGAAGACACAGGGAAGGCTGGCGTGGCTGCTGGTCTTTGCACAGCAGGGAAACGTCTCCTGAGGGCAGCCAGGATCCCTGGGGCCAGCATTTCCCACGTCTGAGAATACCAGTGCAGCATTCTATGGGCCTCCAGGGACAGAGGGGCAGGGATAGGCAGCACGGATACAGGGGGCTCACTGGGGCCTGACACCAACCAACCAGCCCACAGGGCCTGAGCCACAGCTTCAAACACCACATGCCTTGAATCACCACCTGCCACGGACAGACCTCCACGGGACAGCTGACTGCTTTCTGACACATGTGTCTTCTGTTTGCTGGTGATTCCACTGCCCCATCAGTCCCTTGGTCAGGTCCCATGCACAAAAAGACGGAGATGATAAAGCAGAGATGCCGGGGGAGGAGCCAAGATGGCGGCGTAAGTAGGGCAGCGGAAATCTCTTCCCAAAACCATATATACTTTTGAGGATACAACAAATACAACTATTCCTAAAAGAGAGACCAGAAGACACAGGACAACAGCCAGACTACATCTACACAGGCGAGAACCCAGCGCCTCGCAAAGGGGGTAAGATACAAGCCCTGGCCTGGTGGGACCCGAGCGCCCCTCCCCCCAGCTCCGGGCGGGAGGAGAGGAGTCGGAGCGGGAGGCAGAGGGAGCCCAGGGCTGCTGAGCACCCAGCCCCAGCCATTCGCATGGGGAGCACAGACACACAGTGTGTGGGGGGGGTGCTGGATACCAGGGAAACGGGACAGTAAAACCTGTGAGCGGGTCACTGCAGCCAGCGCCCCCGGGACAAAAGAAAAGACAGTGCCCTTTGAAAGTCTTAAAGGGACAGGGGCCTGACAGCTGGATGGAAGTGCTCTGGCACACTCGGCCCAGCAGCTGGGAATCCTGGGGGACTCCAGGTGCCTTAACCCCCTGGACAGCAGAGCAGCTCGGAGGCCCCTCATGGTGATAAACAGCCTCCCGCCCCGCTCCCCCTCCGGCACAGCTCTGCCATAGTGGAGCAGCAGCCTGAGGCTGGTCACGCCCACAGCAGCAGGGTAGAGCTTCTTTCACTGTGGCCAGACAAGAATCAGACCCCATCTGTGCGCAGCTGCCCAGCACAAGCCACTGGGGGTCGCTGTTCTCCCAGGAGAGGAAGGCCACAAACCAGCAAGAAGGGACGTTCTCCCACCAACACACGTGCCAGCTCCCCACAACTACCTCTATCACCATGAAAAGGCAGAAGAATTTGATCCAGACCAAAATTACAGAGACAACCCCTGAGAAGGAGCTTGGAGAGAGAGACATAACCAATCTTCCTGAAAAAGAATACAAAATAAAGGTCATAACCATGCTGATTGAGCTACAGAGAAAAATGCAAGAGCTAACAGACAAAGTAGGGATGGAGACTACAGAAATAAAACAGTCTCTGAAAGGACTTAAAAGCAGAATTGACGAGATGCAAGAGGCGAATAGAAACCAGAGAACAGGAACGCATAGAAGCTGACGCAGAGAGAGATAAAAGGATCTCCAGGAATGAAACAATATTAAGAGAGCTGTGAGACCAATGCAAAAGGAACAATATCTGCATTATAGGGGTACCAGAAGAAGAGAGAGAAAAAGGGATAGAAAGTGTATTTGAAGAAATAATTGCTGAAAACTTCCCCAAACTGGGGGAGGAAATAGTCAATCAGACCACAGACACACACAGAACTCCCAACAGAAGGGACCCAAGGAGGACAACACTAAGACACATAATAATTAAAATGGCAAAGATCAAGGACAAGGACAGAGTTTTAAAGGCAGCCAGAGAGAGGACAAAGGTCATCTACAAAGGAAAGCCCATCAGGCTATCATCAGACTTCTCAACACATAAACAATACAGGACAGAAGAGAATGGCATGATATATTTAATGCAATGAAACATAAGGGCCTTGAACCAAGAATACTATATCTAGCATGATTATCATTTAAATATGAAGGAGGGATTAAACAATTCCCAGACAAGCAAAAGTTGAGAGAATTTGCCTCCCACAAACCACCTCTACAGGGTATTTTAGGGGGACTGCTCTAGATGAAAGCACTCCTAAGGCTAAACAGATGTCAGCAGAGAAAATAAAATCACAGCAAAGAAAGTAGCCCAACCAAATACTAACTAAAGGCAAAAAATATAATCAACTACCAACTAAAGCAGGTAAAGGAAACACAAAAGAGCACAGAATAAAAATCCCAACCTATAAAGAATGGAGGAGGAGGAATAAGAAGGGAGAGAAATAAAGAATCACCAGACAGTGTTTAAAATAGCTCAATAAGCAAGTTAAGGTAGACAGTATGATAGTAAAGAAGCTAACCTTGAACCTTTGGTAACCACGAATCTAAAGCCTGAAATGGCAATAAGTACATATCTTTCAATAATCACCCTAAATGTAAATGGACTGAATGCACCAATCAAAAGACACAGAGTAATAGAATGGATAAAAAAGCAAGACCCATCTCTATACTGCTTACAAGAGACTCACCTCAAATCCAAAGACATGCACAGACTAAAAGTCAAGGGATGGAAAAAGATATTCCATGCAAACAACAGGGAGAGAAAAGCAGGGGTTGCAGTACTAGTATCAGACAAAATAGACTTTAAAA